TGCAGACACAAAGTTGTTGAGAAATGCTGTTTTGGAAACACCTTGGTGTTAGCTGGGCAGCTCTTAGCCTCTATTCACAACCAACTCTAATTTCTACCTGCTGTGCACTCTGAGGTGAAAGGTTCTCAGTGACAAATCCTCCAACAAAAAGCTCTGCTTGTGAGGTAAAAATACTGGGCTAGGGGCAGAGACACCCACAGACCTGCTATAGGGACTAGAGCGCAGCATCTCCCCAGAATCAGCACCACATGCTGCTGGGGCGCTTGTGAGGTTAAAATACTGGGCTCGGGGCAGAGACACCCACAGACCTGCTCTAGGGACTAGAGCGCAGCATCCCCCCAGAATCAGCACCACATGCTGCTGGGGGCTTGTCACCTTTGTGCCACGCTGCCAGCTCCGTGCACCTTTCAGCAGGGCAGGCATCTCATCCGGAGACACTTTTCTAAATGCGTATTGACACATCAATGACATGCTCAGGGAACGGCTCTGGAGCACAGTAACTACTCCAAACCCTCAGCAGCTTTGCATCCAGTCAATCCATCACCCAGGTCCCAAAGCAATACTAAGACCCTCACCAGTGGTCCCCAAGCCACAATGGCCACCATTCTCCCCAGCCTTCTGGTCCCATTCTTGGGTGCTGGCATATATATGATGGCACGCACTCCTGCAGGAAATCAACTCCTGTTTTGCTTGAATAAGGCCGTCAGCACCTGGCTTCTGTCTGTTTAATAACCTGAGCATCTGGTTTCAATACAGCAGGCAAGGAGCAACCACAGTATAATAAGTCATCTACAGCTACGATTAGCTCTAGGCCCCCGGTTGTATATTACAATAACAAAGTAGGTGCTGCTACATCTGTTGACAGAGGCAGAGGGGGTCAATTCCACCCCACCCCCAAGAGACACCCTCCATCTCCTCCTGTCCTCAGATCCCCAATCTTCCCTTGTGCCACATCCAACGTTACGCCGATGCTCTGCCATAGCACCTTACGTGCAGGCAAGGATCCCTGCAGCTGTGCCTGCGCCATGCACCAAACTTTTGCCTCCCCAGCTCTCCGGCACCAGGCTACAGACCAAGGGCAGGGCCCAGGACACCGTTATTTTGTGGGTTTCAACCTCACCAGATGAATATCTGGAGCACAGAGCTCACCAACCTGATGAGCCCTCTTGGCATCCCCAGTGCCATCTACACCCTCTCCATTGCAGCCCTGGGCTCACCGATGGCATCGCTGTACCTTGGGGCTCCAAAATAATAATGATTGATTTCAACTGGAGCTGAGCAGAGCCCTCAAGGTATTTTATTAATGCTAGTGAGTACAAGCTGGATCATAGAATTACTGTTCTGCAAATTTGCAGCTCCGGAGAGGTCTCTTATCCTCAGTGATGACAGAAAAGTCAAAATTTCCCATAGAGTGAAGTTACTGAAAAACTCATTTTAAAAATTACCAAAGCCAGCATGTTTGTAGCTTGGGGTTTCCTCTCCCCCCCTTTTTTTTTCTGCAAGTGCTTTTTACAACACTTGGTTTTGCCTGTTTCCATTTTACTCTAATTCATTATGGAGAAGCAGCACTTCAACCTTTGCTAAAGGCATAACGCGTTTTCAACTGGTTTTTTTTAACAATAAAATCATTCAATTCCTTGAAACTTTTACACCTCTGCCCATTTTGCTGCAGAAAGCTGTCCTGCCAGAACATTTTCAAGACAGCTTCAACACGCCTGAACTCCAATACACGTGCACAGTCCAATCCAACTACGTGTTACTGTCCCTGCTGCCGAGAACGGAGACAAAAAACCAGCAAGTGCATCCAACGAGGAAAAGAGGAGAGCAAAGAGCAGCCCTCAACGCCTCCACCGGTCCTAGGCCTGACCATGGGACAGGGTTCCCCACCTGGAAAGGCACCACTTCAGGGATGCCCTGGGACACCTTCCCACAGTGAACTCGAACACCTTCGAGCACATGTGCAAACACTTGCACGTGCAAAAGAAAAACAAAAATGTTTTTCTTGGTCACTTCAGCTACCATTTCTGACTCTCCAGGGATGATTTCAACCTTTTTCTGTACCACTTCTCACCACAGAACTGCCTACAAATAGCGCTGGTCTTTCACCTGCAGAACGAGAAGGCCATTCCCTGAGGGAGGAGATGTAATAGAAAAAATTATTTGGTTTAACACAGAGGTATGAACAAGATCCCAGCCCTGGTAAAGCCTCTGTGCAGTCAGGAGAAGGAAGGCAGGCGTTTTCCATCTCACCATCCCCAAGCTGTGCAAGCACATACAATTCACATCTCCTCCAGCATCCTCTGCACAGGCAGGGCCGGACTGCAGTGAACCTGGAGAGAAACCAGTGCCTTACCCCTGCTTCCCTGGGAATTTGTGATTGCAGAGCAAACCAGTAACCTTAAGAAGCTCGAACAATCATTCACAGAATATCTCACACTTCTTCCACTTGCTTCAGTACTCCCATGCAACTTCATCCTAGTGTTGACTACATACATCCACACTAGTAAATAAGAGCCATCTGGGTCTCCTGACTATTTCTGCAGTCATCACATCAGCAAGGAGGTAAGCACATGACGTCATCCCGTCCCTTTTCCAAGATCCCTCACAACAAACAGAAAAGTCAGAGGGAAGAGCTGGAAACTAAGGTTTATTTATTTCTTCCCAGTTTCGTGGCTTGCAACCAAAGCCGCGGGTTGGCAGGCGAGACACGCTGCTGAACACGGGCTTGTGACGCGCTGCGCCCGCCCGCGCAAGCAGGAGGGGTGCGAGTTACCCAGGGCTCAAAGTAGGGCAGGGAACAAATTTATTTATATATCCAGAGAAAGCGGTAATTTCTCTTTTTTTGTTGCATTTTCTAATTCTTTACATTTTTTTTCCCTGCAGAGGCCCAACGCTCTTTCCCAAAGCATTCAGCTGACGAGTGGCACTGATCCCATCTCAGCCAAAATCACATGAGCTGACAGCAGCAGTTGGGAACCACACACTATACACAGCAGCAAATACTCCTGATTATTAGATACGTTGTTTATAACTTTAGCAAAGTTTTCCAGGGCAGATAGCTTCTTCAAGTAAATTTAATTTTGATGAAAAAAAAATAATTGACGGTTTGGTGTTTTTTTTCCCACCATCACAAGGAAAATACTTTTACTTAAATGCATTAAATGTTGAAATGATGCAACACCAGTTCAGTCCCTGCAGAAGCAGAATCTGAAGCTAGAGGAGATCACCCCTGCAGGAAGGGGTGTCTTCTGCTGCCGACAAAAATTCCCACCGAATTTGCCAGAGTTTGAAACTCCAGAGAAATGGGAGGTCGCATCCCCAGCAGGACAGCACTCCGGGGACACAGGCACACATGGCTAAGCTGGGCACCCTCCATCCCACCTCTCCAGAGCCGCCTGCTCCCCTTTAGCTGCTCTCCTTACCAGTACTCTTACTGGAGGAGGAGCCACCTCGCAGGTATGCAGGCTGGTATAGTCTTTAACTGAGTAGTCACTCAATAGTTTGCTCCATTTGAACCCTGCCTCACTCAATGTACAGGATGGACCTTTTGTAGCAGAGATGGACGTGCTGTCGGAGGTGCCTGCGGGCTCCATTACACAAGTTGGAAGGTCTCAATGAAGGAAGGTGGCCATAGAGATGGTACTAGAAAACTGGATTCTACCTCTGTCAGCCAAAGAATGAGGTGATGCCTTTGCAAACGGTTTTTAAAATATCTGGCAATATTCCTCAGCACCTAGGGTCTGAGCTGGCATGCACCAGCAGCTGGAGACCCTAAGTATACATTTTTCCCTTATCGCATAAGGCTAAGGACTTGCAAAAAAAAAAAAAATAAAAAAATCACATGTGCCCCAGCAATTTTGACCTTAACATCTCTGCTCGTCTATAAAAGTGAGAAAGGAGCAGCCCCTCATCTACCAGCTCACCGATCAGCTTTGCTGCTGCATTGCTTTTCTATGACTTGTGTGCACAAAAGCATCACGTGCATAGCTGTACACATACATAAAGTCCGGTAAATGCAACTTGGACAGACCTCACACGCTAAGGACAGGCAGGCCAGGGGAAAAGGGATAAAAGTACAAGCAAATCCTTGTTGTAAACTCCTCTCCCTTCCAGTCCACGCTCCTTCAGCAACATACAGCTTCAAGGAGAGGGGACCCCGATTCCCTGTGCACTTTTCCAACATCTTGAGTGGATGCAGACGCACAGAGAGTCCCCAGAGGCCGTGACCCTCAGCCAAATCCCCGTGACGGCTGCTGGCACTCAGCAGCGATGCCAGCGGGGTCACAAGATGCAGGAGAGCAGAGAACGGGGCCCTGTGTGTGTCCCAGCTGCGTGGGCGTGCAGGCATCCGCATCTCCATACTGTGCCCCTGCACTCCACCCTTTGTGGGGCATTTCCAAAAAGCGAAGCAGCAAACAGCTAGCGAGGCACGTGAAGCAAGATTGATAGGAAGAGGTTATGGTTTTCTCCAGACTCGAGAGCAGACAAGTGCAAAATGCAAGACCACCACCTTTTGTGCTTGTCTGCTTTCTTTTGAATAGGGCTTTTAGGAAAAAAAGAGTCAAAAAGTTAAATGCTATTTGCATGTGTAGTTTAATGCACTCTGGAAAACACTTGAGAGCATCTTCTTTTTCTTTCCTTCATTTCTAGCTGCAGCCAGATCATTTCTTCTTGCCGAAACGCACCAGGGAGTTACACGGTAGCACACACGAGGGAGGTTTTCTTGCAAAAATAACCCTGTTGCAAACACTTGGTGATGGCAAACTGCTCTGAGCCATGCACTGTCCTATGGAGTCCTTCCCAGTCCCAGGGGTGCTGCTACCTCTGCTCAGCTTTGGCAACGCTTGGGTTTCCTCCTCAAAACCAGCTTCTTGAGGCTCTCCGTTTGGCTCTGTCTCTGCTGGGCAGTTGGATGCAGCCTTTCTCCACTTGTCCTCCTCAACGAGCATCTTGACCACGGGGGCTGTGTGGGTGGTGTAGGCAGGCCATGGGCAGTGGCACTGGATGAGGTGGCCAGGCAGACCCATGTTGGCTGAGGGCAGCACATACTCTGCAACCCAAGAAACAGACACCATGAGAGCACAGTCGGTTACCTCCTGGCTTCTTCCCTCTCTGGGAGGAGTTAAAAAGAAGGATGCCTTTGGTGACACCAAGGATGCTCTTTGGAGTCAAAGATCATGGTTGGGATCAGTGATGGCTTTGCTATGGCCAAGCAGCACCAAGGGACAGCAGTGCCATACCAAGTAGCTACTCTGCCATCAAGATTCAAATAATCCATGCAAGAAATATTGATGATGTCCATCATTGCTAGCCTTTATGCTTTTATTTCTATACTTGAGCACACAGTGTGATTGCACTGACCAAGGAGGAGCTGCAGAAGGTCTGTATTGCACTAAGAAGCACAGTGGGAAAGGAAAAAAAGAAAAAAAAAAATCAGCAGTTCTCATTTCTGGAGCACTGACCGACGGCCAAGATAGCACACAGCAGGACAAGACTGCACTGAAGATCTTCCCAGTCTCAGCTTTCTGCCCTTAATCACTCAAGCCTTGCACCTCAAACACAAAGCTACAAGGTTGGTAGAAGTGGCTGGAGAGATTAGACCGAGCCTACTTGGGAAGATGTCTGTCCGAGGGAAACTTCAAAGCAGAAAATTCAAGAAAAAAATCATGCAGAAGAGGAAGGCGCGTTCAAATAGATCTTGGAAAATTAGATCATCGGTATTAGTATTTTTAGATACAAGGCTTTTCATAAAACCAGCTTGTTTTCACTTAGGCGTCATTAGTCCTTTAAGAGTTATGTAGCACATAAGCAGAGTTTCCCTCTCAAATATTTTACTTTTCATTAACTTTGCTTAATGGAACGGTTAACTTAATTATGGCTAGGTAGTCAAAGTAGTAAAATGCAGTCTTGCTTAGCACAAACAGCTGGGATAAGATGGTAGGAAAATCCAGCCGATAAAGGTTCTCCTGAAGGTCCGTTGCACTCAAAGGGATCAACTTCCACGCTGCAGCCAATTTAAAACTGGTCTATAGCAAGCTCTGAGCAACAGCCTGCAGACAAGAAAGGAAGGAAGAACAAAGAGATGGAGCAACCATCCTGCAGTCAATCAGGCTTTTGCTTAAGATATCCATACTTAAGAGCTTGAGATTCCCCCATGCATGGCAGGCACAGCAGTCCCAAGGAGAGGAGCTGGGGTGATCCAGTTGCCCTCAAAACAGGCCAGGACAAGAAGTGGCTGCTGTGGAGGGCAACAGAGGCGAAACGGGGTCCTATCAAAGAGCAAAGCTACTTGGGTTTATAGATGCGTATACACAAAATTATGCTAAATCTTATCCCTTAGATGCTTTACGAACCATTTCGCACATGAAGAAGTAGAGGCCAATAAGTACTTGTCACCTCCGTAGCCCTGTTCACCAGATGTCCCTGGAGGGCACAGCAGCCCTTGATGCATCCTTTGGGCACGCAGCCCCCTCCCCAAGTTTGGCCAAGCCAGGAGCACAGAGGATGAAGGAGCCAAGCTGCTGCAGGCGAGATCTACAAACCTGCCCACATCACACACCCCTCCCTGTTCCTAAATCAGTCAGGTGGAAAGCCTGGTCCTTACCTCGCGTCGTGCACTATTTTCTTTTTGTAAAGCCAGAATAATTCTGCCTCTTTTCTCCCCTTCTCTCCTGCAGAGGGTCAGTCGTTTGTGACCAAGCTATGCATATCAGGGAAATACCCAGAACAAAACCACGCTGAGGTTTGTCAGGGCTCTGATACCCAGGGTCTTCACCAGAAAAGTGTGTCAACTTTGGGTGTTCAGAGGTGGGGACAGAGCTGTGAGCATTTCTCCCAAGGTCCTACCACGAGCTCCTGGTGGAAATTAAAACCAAAAAAACTTACAGCTCCAACTTAGAGTTTTAGAGAAATGAAAGCATTTAAAGAAACGTGCTGCTTCAGATTATCTTTTGCTAAAGTTGTAGGGACAGGAGGAGGGACGAAAAGTATATTTTCGATGGCTTCTGCACCGAGCCACATCCTGCAGGCTCCAAGCCCAAGACCGTGCACCGCAGCCACCGCTCCCGCAGCCTCTGTCCGCACCATGGCTGGTGCCAGATGGGCTCTGGGTGTGCAAAGCTTCAGGAATTTGCTTTGACGTAAGCTCTGCTCCCCCTCGCACTGCGGGAACGCGGCTGGCACCGAGCTCTGCCTTCTGTGCTCCCCCTGCCCGGCCCCTCCACACTCCCAGCTACAACCCAGCACTCGTGCTAACGCCTGCTGACAATAACGGGTTTTCATTGCATCCCAAAGGCGTGCGTTGGGGCTTTGCTCGCTTCCCTTGCCTGAACCATGCTCTCTAGAAACAGCCAGCCTTCCTCCCAGTGAGGAAGACCTCACCAGATCCAGGACAACCCCGTGAAGCACCAGCTGACAGCCCGGCAGCAGGGTAGCGGCGTATGGGGACGACCGGCCAACGGGCAGTCCAGGCTCTTCCCGAAGTTTATAAATAGAAACAGCCTGACGTGTTTGCAGAAAAAAAGTTTCCATACCAAAAAAAGTTTCACCGTGATCGCATCGCTGTAAAGTTACACCGTTCTCTACCTATGCCGTACACGCACACGCTCAGCTTTACAATCAGGAGAAGCCAAACCAAAAAGAAAAAGTCTTGGTTTAAATTATGAGATTTCAGACAGCGGCACACTCTGTGCTTAGGTGAAATGTTTATTTTGACAAGCTGAGATAGTCCATGTCTCTTCAAATGCCTGTTCTGACTCACTATTGGGAGTTTAACACTTGTTACAGAACTGTTTTACCATTTAACTCCTCAGGCTAACACGCAGCAAAAACAACTACAAGAGGGTTAAAAAAAAAATAATATCTTCTTAAAGGACAATTCAACTCTTTTCCAAGTGTTTCTGATGACTGGGGAGTTCTGGCTCAGTCCACCCTCCGGAGCGCCGGGACAGACAGCCAGGCACCCCCAGCCCCGGCAGAAGGAATCGGCGTGCCGGGAGCCACTCCAAGCAGCGACCGCAGAGGATGCATCGGCATGACGGCGAGCGTGCATCCGTGCGAGCTAAAGCACTGTGACCCAGTGGGTAAAACGGCAGGATCAGGCACCAAACAACACTAGCAAAGCACAAAAAGAGCTGATCTGGAGCAGTTTCCCCGACTTTTGTAGGTTGTAGCTCAAGGTCTTTGTAAAATGAATAAACACACCGAGTGAAAGCCAGGCACCCAGCCACCGCACGGGGTTGAGCTGTAAATTTAATTCAGTAGTAACAAAGCCTGTGGAAAAAATGCCATGGGCCCCAAAGGCACAGCAAAACCTCCCTGCTTGTTCCCAGGCAGAACCCAAAGAGCTGCGAGATGGGTGCTGGGGAGGGTGACAGCAAGGGCCACGGCCAAACCAGCAGCACCAGCTGCTATCAAAGCAAACACCAAGCTTAACGTGGGCGAGGACCACACCGTAAGGAGACGGTGAGCTTTTTCTGCGTACAGCCACGACACAAAATGCGCTGCATGTTTTGCGGAGCAAACAAAACGATCCAGCCGAGTCCCTCACCCAAACAATCAATTGTGCAATGAAAAGGCAAAGAATGAGCACAACGAGGTGGTGGGATAGGGAAGGACAAGGGTTGCGGTGCTGAGATGTGGCTCCAGCCCACACCTCCTGCTTGCAGGGCTGGTGTTTTTGTTGGAACATTTACCTTTGCTGCACCAAGCCAGATGTTCCCAGCTCAAAGAGTTCCTGATGCGAAGAGGCTAGCTAAGCTCACGAGTTCACGACAGGAGGACATGTGCATGCACTAGGTGCGTCTCCTAATATTTCAGTGTTTGCACAGTATTATTTTGATCCTGGATAATTACTGCTACTTAATGTGATATTTGTGTAGGCTGGGGTTTCAGAAGGGCCTTGGGCTCAGCTGTGTTGCCTAATTGCTACAGCATCATTGCACAGGGCAATAAAATAAAAGGGGTTTAGAATTTCCTGCATGGTGAGGAGAGAAAAAAAAAAGGCAAAAAAGCAGTGTGATAGACAACAACCCCAGTTTGGATATTTGATGAGGTGAGAACGTTCAGTGATAGGATAAAGTTTGGATACCCACCAGGTGACTTTTCTCCTGTGTAGTTGTAGGCACCTGAGTGCAAAGAATTTCAGATAAGGCCACAAGGTCTGCGTTCCAGGTTGCCCATGTTGGAGTGCAGAGACAGAGGCTGATGCAAATCCCAGACATTTCTCCTCTGACCTTATCTCTAGCCTTTTCCAAACCAGCAATAACTAGAGAAGCCCCAGGGAGAGAAGACACGAACATCAGCCTGAGCACAGAGCTTGGATCCATCAGCTTTTCCTGCATTACATCCCTGTGGAGGTCACCACAGAAGTGACTCCTTCACACCGACGGCATGACAGGAGACGGCCAGATGCTACGACAGCACTGGGAGCTGAAGATGGGAATGCAAAGCACTGGAGAGAAGATGCCAAGGGAAAGCCCAGAGCTGACAACATCTCAGAGCAAAATGAGATGGGATCATCAGCCACCATTTGTTATTTACAGCTTGTGCTTGGCTACTGGCCTGGAAGTGATTTCAGAGCCCAGGGAGAAAAGGCTCTGCAACATCCCTGGGAATCCTCCAAGCGTATCAGCTCCTTTGCTTCATAAGTGCCTGCTAGTGAGACCTGTCTCCAGAATTGTCCTGGTAAAGGCTTTCCAGAGCAGAATTGGGTCGAGTTCCCTCCCACTGCAGTGATGGGATTATTGCCTGCCATTGCCTCTGCAAACTGTGCCTGGCATTTATCTGAAGCTGTCCACAGCAAGATATCTGCTCACGAACTGCTCCAATGGGAACTGCTCCAACACACTCCTCTCCCATCCCGACGCCAGCCTGGGATCTCACCGGCATGCACTGGGGAGCACCACGGTGGGATTTTCACATTCCCTCCGGACGGTGGTTTCCAGTGACAAACCTGACCCTAACACAATGTACCCTGGTAAGTCAGAGACGAGCTCAGCGGTAGGTCTGGCCTGCCACGCACCACCCGATGCAGCTGAGACAAGGCACACC